TCACTTGCAATCATCTCCGAAATCATTCTGAAATCCCGCAGTCAGTTCGCAATATCCGAAATCCTTCTTGCAGTCCCGAAATCTTCGTCCGCAATCGCTGAAATCCTATGCAATCACCTTTGCAATGTCTGAAAGCGCTCAAAATCAGCTCTGGTGGGGATAAAAAATCAGCTGTTGATCGGGATTTTGCCCGTTTTTGAGGTACATTGATAATTGACATCAGGTTTCTGTTGCTCCCATTTTTGAATTCAGCACACAACAGTATTTTTTTTTGAAGAATCAAATGCTGGGTCTGATGTGGAACAAGTGGAAATGTGATTTCATTAGGGGAGACTGAGGAGACTGTGGACACGGGGAGACTATGGACATTTCAAATATCGCGCCATTTTTACCTTAGATCGGTAACGTCACACTTCTTCACGTTCCTTTAGTCGCCAACCATTGCTCCATGCACGCGTGTCGCCTAAAGATTATTTAACAAAAAAGTTACTCAGGGAGATCTCTTTTTGGTAAGTATGATGTAATTTTAAATGCTAATATGCTAAGGTATATTCAGAAAATGAGTGACTTTTTTTTCATGGTATTTTTCCAAGAGGTACCTTAGGAATTATTTAGTAAGGTTATGGTACAAAAATGCCTCTCTCTTTTCGTGGAAAATTTTAATAACGCGAAATGTTTTGAAATGCTTTTGGGGAGATAGTGGACATTGTGTCCATTGTCTCCTCATGGTACTGTCCATTGTCTCCCCTGTATACCTAATCTATTTTTTAGAACAATGCCGAGATATTATACTAAGAAAACGAACAGAGAGTTTAGTTCTGATGCTATGAAAAAAGCTGTAAACGATGTGCTAAGGAATAATCTATCGATAAGGGCTAGCGCACAAAAAAATAATGTAACAAGGAGTCGGCTTTTTAATTATATAAAAAGGGCAAAAGATCAAGGCATTGAAAACACGGTCTTTGAGCCAAACTTTCAAAAATCCCTAATTCTCTCTAGTGAGATGGAGTCAGAACTTGAGAAATATTTAGTTAAATGCTCTACAATGTTTTATGGACTTACGCCAAAATCAGTAAGAAGACTGGCGTATGAATATGCAACAAAAAATGGCTTGAGTGTTCCAAGAAAATGGCAAAATGAAAAGATGGCTGGAAGCGATTGGTTTTCAAGATTTATGCATCGTCACCAAAGACTTTCAATTAGAAAGCCAGAAGCTACGAGTAAAGCCAGGATGACAAGTTTCAATAAAGAGACAGTCAAAGTATTTCAAGACAAGTTGGAAGCTGTCATGGCCCGCTATTCGTTTAACGCTTCTCAAATTTTTAACTTGGATGAGGTAAGATTTACTCTGTTAAGAAATTATTAAAGTTATTAATCGTTTTCGATTCTTCAGAGCGGAGTGACTACGGTTCAGCGGGTTTAAAAAATTGTGGGGAAAAAAGGCGAACATCAAATAGGTCAAGCAACTTCAAGAGAAAGAGGGGAATTGATCACTCAAGTTGGGATTATTTGTGCAAATGGCAACGCCCTGTCCCCCATTTGGATTTTTCCTCGACATCGGTTTGATCCAGCCAGAATGATGAAAGGAATTACAGAAACTGGTCCACTAGGTCTAGTTTATCTAAGTGGTTGGATGACCTGTGAAAACTTTTTAAAAGTCCTAAGTCATTTTGTTAAAAATGTCAATTGTTCTACTGATCATAAAGTTCTTCTGATTATGGATAATCATGAATCCCACCTATCCGTGGAAGCTATTGATTTTTGTAGAAGCAACGGAGTAATTATTTTAACATTACCACCACACACATCGAACAAACTTCAGCCGTTGGATAGAACAGTTTTCGGTCCTTTTAAGACCTTTTTTAATCAGTCTGCAGATGCCTGGATGTTATCCCACCCGGGAAACACATTAACAATTTATGATCTTCTGCTTATGTGCTTACAGTCATGGGATCGAGCAGCTACCCCTGTAAACATAAAGTCTGGTTTCCGTTGTACGGGGATTGTTCCGTTTGATCGCAACGTGTTTTCCGAGGAGGACTTTTTGTGTTCAGCCGTTACGGATCGGCCAATTATCCAAGATGCTAATGAATCTACAGTGTCAGCCAATCCTGAGTTAAAATTAAATGCCTCTATATCAATAACCTCACTTGCTAATGAATCTACAGTGTCAGACAATCCTGAATTAACATTACATGCCTCTACATCAAGAACCTCACTTGCTAATGAATCTACAGTGTCAGACAATCCTGAATTAACATTACATGCCTCTACATCAAGAACCTCACTTCATGACGAAAGGGCCACCCCACGTAGTGACAAACAAACAAACATAGTCACTCCAGACATGGTAAGACCCTATCCCTTGGCACCACCAAGAAAGGAAAAAAGTAGCAACAAAGGGAGAAAAAGAGGTCGATGTATGATAGCGACCGATACTCCTGAGAAATTACTCCTAGAAGAAAAAAAGAATAAAAAAACAGATAAAATAACTGCTAAGAAAAAACGCGAAGCCAAAAGGAAAGTGTTTCAAGACGAATCATCCGATGAAGAAACAGTTGCAGTTGATTATCAGGATAATTCGTCTGACGACAGTTTGATTTTTGAAGAGGAAGAAGAGAAACCGGTTAAAGAAGCAGCGAAAGGCGATTATATAATTGTCAATGTTTATGGTAAGTCTTCTGCTAGAAAATACGTGGCGATGGTGGATGACATTTTTCTTGATGGTTACGAAGTTAAATTTTTAAAGAGGAACTTCCCATCCAACCGTTTCAAATTTACCGATGAACCTCCAGCAATTGTCTATTTCGCAAATGTGTTAGTTATTTTGCCAAAACCCATCAAAGATCAAAGGCCCAGATTTGATGGAATGATCTACTTTAATGTAGATTTGTCCGAATACAGTTTACAGTAGGTTTGTACAAATCTACAATTAATTTAATTATCGTAGGTAGAAGAATTTTTCTATTAAACAGTTGGTTGTGAATGATGTTCATTATTTTAGTTATTGTTTATACCTACCAAAGGCTATAGACTGAATAATTCATGTTATTTTTTCAATAAATCTTATTTATAACATTGGTAAATGAAATTTTATTTTTAAATATATGATGTCCATTGTCTCCCTTAGCATGTCCATTCTCTCCTTATATCGGGGACACATTGGACAAAATGCACCCCTGTATAAAAATGGATGCCAAAAAAAAAGTCAGTCTAGTAAACTTAAAATCTACATTGGAAATAGTCCCTAATACTTAGGCATCTGTATTAATTGTAACTCGTTGTTTAAACATCCAAAATAAGCTGTCCAAAAATTTTAACGTCAAAAGTGTCCATTGTCTCCTCAGTCTCCCCTATCCAATGAAAAATATTATGCAGCTCTTTATGACATCTGGTATGTATATTGGACGTATTTCAGAATCATTGGAAAATGATACTTGAATCAAGTTTTTAAAGTGGCAGCTGGACATGTACAGGGTGGCCCATTTCCGATGTTTTAATGGGCAATATCGAAAACCAGCAGAGATTTTTTTTTAGAGAAAATAACAATGGAGAAGACGAATCAAGGCTAAATTGTTTTTGAAGTTGAATCTAGTGGCATGACCAGTTTTTTTTTTTCAAGATGCCACCGACTTTGGAATAATAGGTAACCCTGTTGTTAAGTTGTATTTTTTTGAATGGACACCCCGTATATTATTTTTTCATTGCATAGCTCTTTTCGAGCTGATTTCAATGATATAAGGTTTTATAGCATTATCTCCAAAAGTTTTCGAGAAAAAAAAAATCTGTTTCTTTGTAAGAAGCAATGAATTAGAAAGAGATAGTTGAAATATGAATCGGCTACAAATTTCTATTCTTAGGGCCGGTTTCTCAATTGCGAGTCACCTCCGGGTTGGTTTGAACTCCAGAGTAAGCGTGGCCAGTTGCAATGTTTACCCTGGAGTTATGCTTAACTTGGGGGTGACTCGCTATTGAGAAACCAGCCCCTTATTCAACAATTCAACAAGTTTAGTTTTTTTTTTTTCAATTTGAACTATGAATTATTGGGGGTGAAAATGATGAATAAGCAACACATAATTTATTTCATGACTTATCTCTTTCTAGCTCATTGTTTCTTATGGAGAAACAGAATTTATTTTTTTCCTCTAAAACTAATGAAGATAAAGATAAAGCTATAAAACCTTATATCATTGAAATCAGCTCAAAAAAAGCTATGCAATGAAAAAATAATATACGGGGTGTCCTATTTAAAAAACACAACTGGTTAATATTCCAAAATCGGAGGCATCTGGAAAAAAAAAAATAGTCATGCCACTGGATTCTACTTATGAACCTGCTTGAAGAAAGTAGGTATTTTTGGTTTTTGGATATCTTGATTAATCAAAAAATTAGAATCTCTTAAAATTGGACAAACTTTGAAAAGTGCCCTGATGTATTTCGTAAACACATCAAGTTAGCTGTGATTTGTCCTCGCCATTGTTATTTTCTCAAAAAAGATATCTAGAATGTACTCCCATATTTTTGATATCTCTGCTCTGCTGGTTTTCGATATAGCCTTTTAAAACATGGAAAATGGGTCACCCTGTAGATACCTATCTATAAACTTATGAATGAAAAACTGCAATTAAAATCAAAAAATTCAAAAGATAGTGAAAAAATCGAATGAATTATGTTCCGCAAACATATTTATAATCCCCAGAAATTACCTTGCAATCCCAAAAATCACCTCGCAATCTCAAAAATTAGTTCGCAATCCCCCCTGCAGTCTCTGCAGTCACTGAAATCGCCTCGGAATCCTCCGAAATCGCAAATTTTTAGAGAAATTCTTCGAAATCGCTGCAATCATTTAGAAATTATAGGATTTCCGCAATACATGTACATATTTTTCGGGAGTGGTCGCCCCCTCGGATTCCCACTGTACACCGACTGCAAGAGTTATTCAATTATGAGATTCATAGAAAAAAACGCAAGTATGTACCATGAAAACTGTAGGTATTTACCTTTGAATTAATCCCTTCAAAAAGGTTCAATTTAAAACTGTATTCTTTCGTGCCCAGTGCACCTCTGCCCAAGCCATCAAAACTAATTAATTTTTCATCTACATCAATAAGAGGTTGCTGAAAATTACCAATAGATTTTATAACTTTGTTTTGTCTTTATACACTATCAAATTCTAGTTCTCAATATTCAGTAGTGGAAAAAATGGGCTTCAAACTGCAATTAATATACGTTTGAGGACTAGAATTTGTTCCTGAATCTGAGTACATCAATTAAATTATTCTGGAGATTGTTTGGGATACAAACCTGTACGTCCTTGAGGTCTATTTTCAAAAATAGTTTATTTTCGTTTTGCGCCCAATATACAAAGGGGCTGAAACCACTCATTGCACTAATAATTAAAAAAAAATAATTCTATTGCCTATTATTGTTGCACTATTACCCTACTGCACCTTTTAATTGGGTAATTAATGTTGGTAATTAGATTATCAACCTATGTACTTTTATTTATTGATAAAAAATACATAAAAATTGATTGTAAACAAGAAATGTTTTGGACGTGTACCGTTTTCGAATAAAAAAAACATAAACCAAGTTAAAAACGGTACACGCGTATTGTTTTTTTATCCCTGTTCTTCTTATCAAAAGAAAAAAGATGAAACATACTCCGAGCACTCAGGACGATGTAGCGTTTTCTTCGGACTGAATCTTTAAACGTCATACATTAACATAACCCTATATTTTTTTTCAAGTCCCAAAACAAGAAAATTTGAAATTTTCTACTTTTCTAGTTTTTCTATTAAACATTTCTAAAAAAATGTCGTTCTCGTTGTGGAATTTGTTTGAAGCTGCAATTCTATGCCTTAATGCTATCTGCATTCTAAACGAGGATAGATTTTTAAATAAAAGTAAGTTGGAACTCGAAATCCGATTTTGCATAAACAACTACACAAGAAAAAATATAAAAACAATACTGCAACTAAATACAAAAACATATTCAGATTTTAGTACGTTTCTTTTAGTTGGTTGGGGTTCAAGAAACACGAACATGGCCCAAGGATTTGGTGAAACTGCCTCCACGAAATCTCAAATCTTCACTTTGTTGCATTCAATTCGGACAGTAGCCAGAGGTAAATTTAATAATTAAGTTAATGAAAGTCGGTATGTACTAATTTTTGCTTATTTCAGTTCCACTGATTCTGCTCAATGTAGTTACAATAGCACTAAAATTAATACTCGGATGATTATCATAGAATTAAGTGTAATTTTTATGTATTTTTAATATTGTATTTATATTTAGCATGAGAGAAATTTAAAATTTTTATTTCAATTATTGTGTTTTTATTATTGGAATTTAAGCTCAACCTTTGGTTGAGATTCCCTCGCAGTTTTTTTTCTTCCCTTTAATTTTTGGTACCTATTTATTGTGCACAGAGGACCAAAAATTATAATATTATAATTTATATCCATTTGAAATTTATCTAAAACCGATAAATTCATAACTACACATGCACAATGGCTCATATGAATAAAACAGAAGCAAATACTTTTACTTAAGTTTTTTGAGATAAACATATTCAGCTTTAATGCAGCAAAAAGAGACGGAGGTAGAGTAAAACTTTTGCTACACACTTTATTTATATGAGTTAATATGTAGGTATAATTTTCTTTTAAAAGAAAAATGACAAAACAAATCATTTTGCCTTCACAATTAATTCCAAAATAATCAAACTATCAATTAATTTCAACATATTAATACAAGCATTTTTCAGCATGAATTCATTTTATTTTATTATTATAAAATTGACAAATCAACAAGGCATTATTATCCAACCAACGCATATAATATAAAACTGATGAAATACTAGGTAACCGAGAAACATAAAAGGCTTCCTGGAGGTTACGTGATCGACTCACTATGGCTGAGTAGAAGGGGCGCAACGTCAATATCAAAGAAATGCTTCGACTTCTTGCTTCTTATCTTTTCGAACGAGAGAGAAAGTTACCGTTCTCGCACTGGCGCGAATCGTTTCAAATTAAATTCTCATGCAAAAACAATGTTTTGTTTCAAAAACTTGATAATTTTTCTAAATATTATTGGTCTAGTTTTTGGTAATAGTACCACAGAAAACTATGTCCAAGAAATTGAGTATACGGAGGGTACGTCGGTGGAACCGCGGTACTCTCTACCCTCGATCAAAATCGGCGACAACAGTGAAAATATAGTGCCCGCCAGTTTGCAAAGGGTGCTGAATTTTTACAACACCGAAACTTTGGTTGCCACTTGGCCCAAGTTCAGAAATGGAATATCAGAAGGGTGTCAAAAGGATATGGATTTGTATATCGAAGGGTTACGGGATACGGAAAATTGGGCTCTGAAAAGTAAGTAATATTCATTTATTGTGGATTTATTTGATTACCTACTCAATTTTCATAACTTAGTTTTTGCTGGAAGAGGTTGAATTGATTTTTAAGCATTTAAGAGAATTTTCCAGCATAACTTTTCTGTATTTAAGTTCAATTTCAAATACAACTTATCAATTCAATTTTTATTTAGGTTCAATTAGGTAGGTAGGTATACAGGCCAGGGGGATTCCACCTACCTAATTTTGTACACCAAAAATTCTAAAATTCTGAAAAATGCTAATTTTCATGTTATTATTGTCCCTAAAAATTCTAGAAAATTCCAAAAATCCCAACAAATTGAGCAGGCTCTTGAGCATGCGCAATAGATAAAAAATCTAAAATATTTCTAAAAAATTCTAGTTCAATTCTAAAAATACTGAATAATTCTAGGAATTGCTAGAAAAACTAAAAAATGCAAAAAAAGACTGATATTTCTGAAAAATTCTAAGAAATTCTAAAAATTATTTCAGTTTGTACAGGGTGATCTATTATAAATGTCACCCCCTGCTAACTTTATCATTTGACGTTTTTGACAGAAGTGTCAAATACAAAAGTTTTAAGAAATTGTCAAAACTCTTTAACTAGGTTAGTTTTAGGCATACAGGGTGAGTCAAAAAAGTGCAGCAGTGTGTTATTAGCTGTTTTATTTTTTTAAATGGAAGACCCTGTATATTGTGCGCTATTTGTTAGTCCCCTTTAACCTGATTTCAACGATATATGGTTTGATATGTTTATCTCTCGGTTTATCTTCAGGTCTCTCATGGTATTTTTTCAAAAATAATAATAACTTAGACACCTGGATTTATTATAATATTTCACCTTGTATATTAATGAATAAAATTTGAACAATAAACTGTTCATAAAAAAAAATCTCTAAAACTTAAATGGTATAATTTTTCTTTTTTCAATATGAAACCTTGAAAGGTGTTTTCATGTTTTTTCCTATAAATATCGAAGATAGGCATATCCAATCGTATATCGTTGAAATCAGGTTAAAAGGGACTAACAAATAAGCGCACAATATGTAGGGTGTTCCATTTGAAAAAAAATATATATCTTCACAGTGCTACGCTTTTTTGACACATCCTGTATGTCTGAAACTGACTAAGTTAAAAACTTTCGACAATTTATTGAAACTTTTGTATTTGACACTTTCGTCAAAAATGTCAAATGAAAAAGTTAGAAGGGGGTGACATCTATGATAGATCGCCCTGTACACCAAACTTCTAAGAAGGTTTCCCGCTCGGAGGAACCCACCTACCTAATTTTTTACACCAAAAATTCTAAAATTCTGAAAAATGCTAATTCTTGAAAAATTCCAGATCCAGATTGCGCAGTGCGCAGGCTCTTGAGCATGCGCAATAAGTGAAAATTCTAAATTATTTTTGAAAAATTCTAATTCAATTCTAAACAATACTAAGAAATTCTAAATTCTAAATAATACTAGAAAATGCTAGAAAATACTAAAAAATGCTAAAAAATACTGATAATTCTAAAAAAATTCTCAGTTTGTACACTAAAATTCTAAGGTGGTTTCCCCCTCGTATACAGGCTAAATCTGATCAAGCCAATTTTCATTCAAATTCAATTTAAAGCCAAATTAATCGAGGTAATTTTGCAAATTATACAGGGTGTACCATTTAAAACGAAACAGGCTAAATATTTGATGCCCCGTTTATTTTTTAAAATAATCGCTCGTACACGTAATTTGATTTTGTAAGGGAAAAGTTTTCTGCAACCATGTTTAGCACATCAACTTTAACCCTCTAGGCTGGGTGGGTTACTTTTTCAAATGGAAAAAGGGGTCGAGTGATACCTCTTTTAAAAGAGCGTTCAATTCTTTTTCATTTAATGCCATTTAAAAGAAAATTGAACGCTCTTTCAAAACAAGTATCACTCGACCCCTTGTTCCATTTGGAATGGTAAGAGTTGGAAGTGCTGGAAATGTTTCAAACACTCACACAATCAAATTGCGTGCACCTACGAGCAATTTAAAAAAAAAAAAGTGACATCAGATATTTAGCCTGTTTCATTTTCAATGGTATAGCCTGTATTTCCCTTTCTGCATAACCATTAGATTTACTTCTTATTTATTTTAATGAAAAAGACCCTTACTGATAAATACTGAAAGTTTCACGTTTTTATAATTGGCAGGAGTAGGTACTTTTCAGAAGCTTTCAATGATCAGGAATTTTTCAGATATTTTCAGTATACAAGGTGTTTCACAAATGGTGTTACAAACTTCAAGGGCAGATAGTAGGTATTCATGAAAATAATTTAAAAAATTCCTATGGATATAGGTCCGGAAACGCTTTGTTTCCAAGATACAGGGTGATACATTTTTCAAAAAAAAATAGTTTTTTATTAATAGCCCAAAAGAGCTTTAGCCGATTTCAATAACGGTTTATTTCAACCATTATTAGACATCTACTGAACCAATTAGATTTGATCCAGAATTCCCAGGCAGGGGCGTACCCAGCGAGCAAGTCGGTTGTTTTTGTGCAGAAAAAAATATCACTCTGTAGTTTTTGTACGATTTTTATTGATTATTCAGATAGATACACTAAAAATACAACATTTTTGTCTCCTAAATTTTTCAATTATCTCGCTCCGTTTTCGTGGAAAAATTACAATACCATACCTCGGCCCGACTCTGGACTCCATAAGGAAAGATAAAAATTCATAGGAATTAAGGTACATCACCCATTCATTGAGTGACAAGGACATAAATTCCATTTGAGTTTTTTTGTTTTGTTTTGTTTTCAGAAATCCAACAAACTCCGATAAAAGTCAATTCCTAAGCATTTTTATGGAGTTCAGAGACATGCCGAGGTATGGTATTGTGATTTTTCCGCGAAAATGAAGCGAAATAATTGAAAATTTTAAGAGACCAAAATGTTGTATTTTTAGTGTGTCTATCTGAATAATCAATAAAAATCGTACAAAAACTACAGAGTGATATTGCACAAAAACAACCGACTTGGTCCCTGGGAATTCTGGATCAAATCTAATTGGTCCAGTAGATGTCTAATAATGGTTGAAATAAACTGTGAAAATTTCAATGAAATGGGCTAAAGCCAGGCTAAAGCTCTTTTGGGCTATTAAGAATAAACTATATTTTTTTTTTTGAAAAACGTATTACCGTGTATCTTGGAAACAAAGCGTTTCCGGACTTATATCCATAGGAACTTTTTTAATTATTTTCATGAATACCTACTATCTGCCCTTGAAGTTTGTAACACCATTTCTGAAACACCCTGTATTTTCTGACCATCAGATTTAGGTACTTCCAATTTTTTTTTTGTAGCCCAAAATCTAATAAACATCCTCCAAAAATTGTCTAAAGTACCTACATATTACTTATAGTAAAATAAAGATCATCTGTATAGTTTTTCCCATTTCGTCATCCATTTGACATTAAAAATTTCCAAATCAAATAACACATTCAATTATTTTTGATGCTTTCTCAGGAAGTACCTACCATACGTATATTAATTTGAAAAGTATATGTAATGATTCTATTAAGGGAACTGGGTTAGCACAAAAATACTTCCTCGACATTAAATTACTAACTTTTAAAGTAAATACACGCATGGATGGTGATTTCTATATAATGTGTGCACACAAGCATATTATCCATTATGTATAAATAAATAATTTTCACTCATCTATGATGAATGAAAAATTATTTTCTTTTTTTTTTTTGGGCAAATAAAGACACCTACAAGATAAGATATTGTGAAAGCAGAAAATTCATTTCAAGTCAAGGTCTTGCTGCGTAATAATTATTATTACTACAGACTTTACCTTAAGAAATCAATCATTTCAACAATTCAATGTAGATTTTCAGTAATATTAGCATAAAAGTACAAATCTTCAAATATTTGTTGGGAAGGCGTCAAATTAATTCATACAAGTTAAACAATATTTACACACCTGTTCAAAAATTTTGTTAAAATTCACAAGTGAAAAAAAATATTTGTCCTTATATTATAAATTTAAATTTTTCAGAATCTACATAATAAAATGTCAATGACCAATAAGATATAATAATAATTAATTTAGCCCAAAATTATAAGATCTCAAGATGGATTCTTGTTTATTAGTGTACCGTAAAACGGGGATACTTTGTGACAGATTTTGAGGTTTTTTGAAATTCTCAAACATTTATTTGGCACATAAAATTAAAAAAAAAAAAACACTATGTATATCCGTCCTTCCGCTACAAAATGACAATTCTAGAAAGTTGAAAAAATAATAATAATTCAGCTTTTTTTAATTTGAAAGTGTCCCAATTTTACCCCGTGATGCGGGGTAACTTTTGTGACAGTACGTTTTCACAATGAAAACATAATGTAACCCCAACATTTTTAGTCTGAAACGATAGGAAATGTCAAGAAATATTTGCCTGATTATTCCACTCATGTGTTAGAAATCCCATAAGACAAGTGACGATTACAGCGAAAATTCTTTTTTCTATTTGTTTAACTAGAGAGAATTACAGCGATTATACAACTCACTGTACATTATTCCCATGTGACACGAGAGGCTTAATAAGTGATAAGCCTTTTGGGATTATCGCGCTTGGTGGCATTTATGGCAAATTCTATTATAGATTTTTTTTTTTGATTTCTAACTATATTATAGTTTAGTTCATTGTATAACCTTTTGAATACCACTCGATGTTTCAGGATTACCTAATATGTACTTTTACCTGACACTCAACGCGTTAGAGTCCGCGTCAGCAGTAAACACTACGGTGACAACAGGGAAAGCTGCGGGAAGCGGGTCCGATCTCTCTCCCTCGTCTATCTCTCGCTGTCTGCCGTGACCTCGGCCGTGAGCTGAAACCAGCAGCGGGGTATCTTTTTAGACAAAACTTGGGTAGAAAATAAACTAAATAAATATGCTTGCTGGCCGTACGGCAATGAACCACGTGCATGGCGTTCGGCAGCAGCACCGAACAATACGATAGT